GAATGTTGCCAAATGAAATTTAGGGGCGAGACTGTGGATCCATGATCTACGTGTTAAATAGAAGTAACCTGCATCAAAAAATCGCTGTTACAATTTTTTTTTTTAATTTTCCTACCAAATTTAACTAATTTTTCTGGGTTAATCGCTATGTTTCGCACGTTCCCGGCCGTGATCTAAGCGTCATACAAAACAAATGTAGGTATACAAGTTGTGAAGAATGAAATTCTCTACAACTTTTGAATTTCAATATCCTATGTATTTTCAACAGAAATTGTCAAAAAATGGCGAAAACCGTGGCAATGTAAATTTTTTTTTGCAATTTGTGCTAATTTTGTACCATAAAAAATGGTATTTTGAGAAAACCTTTTATATAACAAATGTGGGAAATTAGATTCTCTACATATTTGTATATACCCATTTTTTACGAAAAATGCAAAATAAGCTTGCAAATTGGAAAAAACCCAAAAAAACTTAAATCCAAGATGGGGGAATGTTGCCAAATGAAATTTAGGGGCAAGACTGTGGATCCATGATCTACGTGTCAAATAGAAGTAAACTGCATCAAAAAATTGCTGTTACAAATTTTTTTTAAGAAAAAGTCTAATTTTACTGGGCTAAATATCACACAAACCACTCGACCACGGCTGATTTATTTTATTCTGCCCATTACAATTTTTTTTTTGTTTGCGAAAATTTTCAGTCGCCTTCTCAGTTAAAACAACCCGTGCGTCATCCACATCACCACAGTATTTCTGTGGCGTGGGTACACAAACAACCCCAACTCCTCATCGTACATTCATATAGAGCAATTTAATACTGTAAGCAGTGTTGGCACTAATCGATTGATTTTTTAATCAATTAGTTAATTCGATTAAATTCAATCCGATTACAGTTAATCATGATTAGTTTTAATCCGATTAAACAGTTAATCGTAACCGCGATTAAAAAAATTAATTTTTAATCATTAACTCTTAATTTGATTAAGTAGGTTTGGCGATTAATTACTTTATGCTGGTATTTTCCTGTACACACAAAGCCAGTTAATCGAGTATGGCTAAGTCGGGTTTCCTCATCAATCTAAGAAATTTGGTGTGCCTTTTCATTAAGATCTATACCAACATACGTTTTACAAACTAGGTTTTAATATCCCTCTGCACATGTGCGCTGGGTTATAAAAGTTCCGAGTTTATATATTACTAATAACAATAATTATAATTTTTCTTTTATTTTATGTGCTTTTTATAAGCGTAAAACACAAAATAATTACTACAACTGTTGCTTGGTTCCAAATTCGGACAAACTAGACAACTTAATCAGATTTTCTTTTTAATTGGATTAACAATTATGATTAAAATTAATTAATCGTAATCGCCGCCAGCGATTAACGATTAAAAAAATTTAATCATTAATCATACATTTGATTACGATTAATTAATCTTAATCGTCAATCCCGATTAACATTTTAATCGTTAATCAGATTAGCATTTTGCCAACACTGACTGTAAGTATATAAACAAATCAATTTTCCTGCTTACGAGCGAAGGGGGGAGGGGTAGCGAGCCTGTTGGCGCTAAACCGCGGCCATCCGCGTTTGCCCGCCACCACTGAAATACCTAAGACACTGAGAACAAATATGCGCATCGCATTGAAGGCAAAAAAAATAGTAAGAATTTACCTTTAATTTCCAATAATTCGCTTATCAGTTATTGACAAAAATACCGTTCGATTTTATGCGTATACTCCAGAAGGGAATTTAACTCAGAACTACACTGTATGCAAAAATAGA